CACACGCCATTGGTGGAGAGTGAACCAGGTAAAGTGAAGTATTTTATTGATATAGCAGAAGTTATCTCACTGATCTCTTTATATATATTACTGCAGCAACAACAGTTAGATTTGAGAAACACATTTCACGTCATTCATTCAGGAAATGTGATTCATGCTTAACAGTCATATATTTTACTGTATTTGTGACAGGGCACTTAGCCTGATTATTGCAAATTTGGAAATACCAGAAGGCCGTTGGGGAATGAATTACTTATCTGGGGTGTTACTAAATCATATTCTCTCATTTGTGTGTGTAAGAGCAACTTGAGCCTTCAGGTAGAAGTATATCATAACACTAACTGGAGCATAAATTATCATAAAATGTTACACGACTAAGATATAAGTATCATGGTGGAGAGAATATTCAGTAGCCTACATGTACTGATTTGAAGCGGACAGGAAAGAGCAGCTGTGATTGGAAACGGATCCTAAGATAGCCGATTAACTGCTGCCCTGATCTACTTTAGAGGAGTGTCGGCCTTGGGCTCTCTCTGCAAATATAATTTAATTCTGCCTGATGAGAGAGGGATGAGAAACATTTATGGAAGGAAACAGCAAACATGCTGCAAAACTTCAAACCCCTGTGAGAGAAAAACTGATTCACTTGGTGTTTTCACGTGTAATATTAATGAATATCTAACAAGAGACATTGGATAAACTGTTATACACATGCTTTAGTTCTTTGTGGAAAAAATAATCTGTCCTTCTGCCTCTGCTTGGCATCCTTCTCTTCTGGCTCATATTTTTAATTACAAGCTCACTGTTTCCAAGAGTCATGGGCAAAAGGGGCTGAAACAGACTCAACAGGGGGAAGAGGGTTTTTTTTTTTTTCACAAGAACGGCAAACAAACCTTGGTTTTACATTAACCTGCAGTTAGTCCAGCTCAAACAATGGCAAAAACCTACAAATTTCATTTAACTCTACACTTTCTTAACCACTATACGCTTAAATATTCGCATTTATTAAAAAGCCATGCAGGTTATGTTTCTTAGGCAATGTACAGTAGGTACATAAATATTTAATCTCCTCAGAAGAAGGCACCCTATTTCTGGCATAACTATCAGGACTTCCTGTTTTCCAAAGGAAGCACGAGGTTACGGCTGACAGGATCTCATCAGGAGAGAGTGACTGTGGAAGAGCCAGTCTCCGACAGAAACAGAAGCTGCAATCTCCACTCCAGCCAGTAAGGAGGGAAAAGACTTTCCATGGAATGTTTGACTTCATTATTTCTCCCGAACCTTGACAACACTCATTGTGTTTCACTATAGGCTTATGTAACACAGGAAACACTAGTAGCAGATTACAGAAATGAAGAAGAAACAATAATAAAGACACCAGGAACAGACAAACACTAAAGGAGTAGTAGAGGTCAAAACTAGGGTTGGGCAATTGAACAAATAGATTGGCTCCATCGAGTCCATCACCGGGTTGTTTTTTTTGGACGATTTTTGTAATTTTATTTAGATCATTTTAAGATCTACCTTCGAAGAATGGTCAGTGAAAAGTTCAGTGGCACAGTAACGCTACACACACTGTGCCAAAGTACGAGTAAGAGGAACAACAGCTGTAGAGGTCAGGGGTTTATTTCGGCCAGTTTGACAACTAGAATAAAGTAACATGGTGATTTACAGCGGCTCCGACCAGGACTCTGACTCCATGCATGACGAAGACATGCTCAGGTGTGTGTGAATATACTGTATCAGCAATCGCTGGTTATTGAAATGACAGTGGCTGGTTGGAAAATTTTAACATATTGCCCAACCCTTGTCAAAACAGAGCATGAGGGCAGAGGAGAAAAGAAAAATAAACATATACAGGTTTGACAGTACTACATGTGCATAAAAAAAAAGATATAAACTCTTTTGGCCATTTAAGAAAACTTTGATTACATCTTCCCTCAGAGACATCCTGTAGCTAGGAAATGTCATCTTAAGGTTGAATTACCTAAATAACCTTGTTACTGTCAATAAATTGTACTAACATTACTGTGTACATTAAACTACGCTACTATATTGTATAGCAACATATATGCAGGTCTGACCATAACTGTGTCATTCAAAATGTATTTTTACACTTGTTTTCAGAGACCAACCACCTTCCCCTGTTACAATTAAAACAGCACTCAGTCAAATGGTCCACAAAGTCATGATTTGCCTGTATTATTATTATATGGTTTACATCTGTTAGCATACGTGAGTCAACATATAATAATAAAACACATCATTTATATTTGCTGTAATTGTTGACACAGTGTTGAATGTTCCACTCAAGACACCGCCCTCCCTATACGATCCATATGTCATATTAACCACCTTGTTTGTTTGTTTAGTCGGACATTATGTGCAGCAGGTATATGGTGATGTTTGCTGTGTTAGCGCTATTAACATAAAGATTGACTCTTCAACCACATCCCCACCTACACATTTTAGTTTGCATAATGTCATTGTCGTGCCACGTGTCCAAGCAAAGCTAGATTAGCATTGTTAGACCAGGGGATGATGAGCAGCAGGGGCAGATTTAGAGAAATACTCATCGGAGTAATTTAATCTGATTTAACAATCACATATATCAATATTTGCTTGGAAAAGCCCCCAAATGAAGCTATTTTAACTCCAGAAAACATTACATTATTGTATTACATTTCATTGAATAGAAATATCTAAAGAAAAAAAAACATAAAAATAACATAAGAGATCATTAAATTAATTAATTAATTAAATTTTAACATGTTACTTTTTAAATCATTCTAAATGAACATGTTAAATGGCTGCTGCCACCCCTCTAGATCCATCCCTCAGCGGGCAGCCAATATGAGAAGGAGATTAACAAGAGATCAACCTCCTGCTCCTGACTGTATGACCAGCTAGACCTGCTTGGTGCAATTAAACACTCACTGGGAAAACTTCAGTCTCTGGCTTTTCAACCCTTTATGAGCCTATACAGTAACCTAATTTATAATAGTTGCATGAAGCCATTAAAACATAAAAGAAAGGAGCCGACTGAGAGCAAGACGGCAAAGGAGTTGAAGGAGGATGGCCCTTTGAGAAAGGTACATGGGAATCTGGGAGCAAACATCATAGAAAATAATGAATGAAAGTCTTGATGGTGGTACAATAGGAAAACGAAGTGATTAAGGAGTCAGCTCGCTGAGAAACACAGAAAGCCATGTGAATGAGGAAGAAGTCTCCGTCCCTCCCACACTCTAGTGACAATCTGAGGCCAGCTGGCCCGGCCAAAGCATCCATTCACTCGGCTTCCAGGAAGCGAAGGAGAAAAACAACAAGACTTTCAGAAAACAGTACATGGCCATCTTCTCTCAGACTGGTGCTGGAGTTGGCTCCCACAACTAATCCCAAATTACTCAGAGCATTTCCTCCCTGAAACACTGTTTCTCACCTGGCAAAAGATGACTCAGGTGTGCCTTTAACCTTGTTTAGAAACAAAGGATGTCACAGGTTAGGCTACCACCACACAAACCTAGATTAAAACAACCAGAAATATCAAGTTCACGACAAAACCATAATTTGGCGGTCTGTCAAAAGAGGCCAAAGTCTTATTGTCAAAATGGTAAAAATTAATTGTAATTCTCCAAGAAAATCTATTAAATATGATGCAACAATATAAGAGAAAAGGCAAAACCAGGTCCTCAAAGACAAAAAGAGACTAAAAAAAGGAAAACAAATACAACTGGGCTAGAAGAGGTGCCACATTTTGACTTGCTGCATTCAGTGAAATGATGAGCATAGCATTCAACAAGTGTGTTTCATGGAAATGGTGATTCTCCAGCTACCAATAAAGGAAATCTTGCAAGCATTCTGTAACTTTATATTATTTGCTTACACGCACATTTGGTGGTTGTTATGCTGTGTGTTTGCTGCAAGGAATTCCCATATCTTATCACGCACTAGCAAAACCAGTATGTAGGCCAATTGATAAAAACTCCCAGGTTGCTGGTACGGTTGTCAGCCTCCATGTTGACGTAAAAAAGCAGAGTGTGTTTGTGCAAGAGAGATACTGAAAAGGGGGTTTCCAAAAGACATTTTAGATCTATATGGACAGAAAAATATCTACCAGACTACACTTAAAATGCCAAGACGTTCCTCTTAAAGTGGTGTTTAGGAGGACAGAAGGTGAGCCCATATGGCAGTTTACATTTATCTACGATGTATGTGTGTATTTATATATAAAATATGTGGAATCTTTTTAAAAAAAAAAAAGGTGTTATCAGCGTGCAAAATACTACTTTCTTCATGCAGCATGAGCCTCGTCCTCATGCACTACAATAACAGGGTGAGAGCGTGGCAACAGAAGACAATACACAACATCAGCGCGGCCTTGGATGTAGGTCACACAGCCAGAAGCAGAGAGAGAAAATACTCAATCAGGATGTATATATACACATATATACCACTTCCATAATGTTTAGAAACAGCAATGAGGGGGAAAGGATTAACTGATCTTCCCTCAGTAAAATCTGTCCCACCAGCCCAGCCCGCTGAGGGTCAGTATGTGATGAAGATAACTGGCTCTGATGGGAATCTGCCTGAAACGGATGCATGTTTAAAAGTGGATAGCCAGACACTAAGAGAGCCAGGTGGAGTTTAACTTTCTCAAGGCTTGAATGCTTGGCGGGAGGTAGGGGGGGGGGGGGGGGCTGTCACACTGGAATGATTGTCTCTTTGTTCCTTCACTCCACTTGTTCTTTGTAAGAAAAGAAAGACGGGTATTTTGTCTTCCCCGTGTCCGTGCTTCTGACAGGTGCATAATTTGTCTGTGCAGCGACTACTGTATATTTAATTCATAGGGGTGGTAGGTACACGAGGCAATTTCTCACATACCTGCAGAGGTTAGATATTCTATGGTTTAAGTGAAACATCTTCAGCCAAAAAATTAAATCCTGGACAAAAGCTTTTTTCCAACTGTGGCAGTGTGTGACAGTAATGCTTGAAAGACCTACCACCAAGTGATGAAAGAGAAGCTCCCATGACTGACTCAGCTTCTGGTTCACCACCATGTCAAAGAAGTCATACATGAAGTAACCTGTGGGGAATAGACAGCATTTAGCCAATGTTAAAGCCATATTCAGGTCTGGCAATTCATTAATTAACCAAAACACGACAGATTCTTTTGACAATAGAAGCCTTGAGCATATCAAGTGCGTTTGGGGGGGGGGGGGACCCGCTTCCATGACGACAGCGATGGCAACCGAGATGTGTCTTGGAGAGGGGCTATTCATATCCACCAACCCCACCCCTTTCCCCGCCACCGGCTGTATCCATGGTGACAGCTATTCAGAATGCTGGAAAAAATAATGAAGTGTTGAGGATGGGGACGAAGGGGTAGCGAGGGGGGCTTTGGTGAGACTGGAATTAACCTCATTATGTTGGAAATGTGACACCGGGACCCTTCATCTCACCATAAACAAATGTTCCTGCTACCAGCCACCAGAGCAGATGAATACCAGAAGAACACCATGAAGCATTTGATTGGTTTATGTGAACTATCTGGTGTCCATCGCGGTTCTCGTCGCAGGTCACGTTTTGTCATGAACAGCCAATCTGAGCGTGTGACTCGTTGCCAATTTATCTCTTATCTTGCCCTTGTGTTTTTAGAATGATTCATTCAGCACTGACACATCTGTATTCAAAACACACCGGTGGAGCAAAGAATGACTGAGTGACACTCTCTTTATGTACTGCAACATGGGCATGATGTGACACCTCTGTACAGTCAGAACAAAGGAATCAGACACTGGTTGACTTTCCACTGGCGACCAACCAAAGCCTGAACAGAAAGCGAGAAGAAAGAAAGGGGGGGGGGGTTTCTAGTTAAATCCTCCAAAGTAAAACATTTGCTTCTTTCAATTCAAGATTTATTGGTATGTTTACATGAACATGGAATTCCTTTCTTAAACCAGTTAGTCTGGTTTCAGGCTGCCAGTATCACGCCTCTGTTGGAATGACCCAGTTCAGTATGAGAAACCTGATTAAGACACCTGGCTTAGTCTGATACTTGCCAAGTTACTGCAGCATGTAAACATCTTAATACTGTGGCTTTTTGTTTTTATGGGCTGTGTAAACCTGACTTGCAAAGCATTATGGGAACTTCTTTATATATATCTTAATAAAATGTGCCCATGGAGGAATATTTACTATTGCTAGCAGTCTTTTTTTTAGAGGTATCTTACTGTTTTTTGGGTTAAATAGGCAAAGAGAACTATTCTTTAAATTGGTTATTCATAACATGGAGAATAAACTGTATCAAAAGTCACATGAAAAAGGGTTTTACACACATAAAACATTAAGCGTGGTTAAATTCCAGTGCAAGGCTTTGTTCTAGGTGCTGCACAAGGTCTTCATTCAACAACTGGAGAGTAATTTAAGGCATGTCACTGCGATGTTTGCTGCGTGGTATCACAGTCCGAATGCACAAATCTGGTGGACAAAACTCCTCGCTAAACATGCTGAGGCCTCAGAATCACACCACATTTCTGGTGGGAGGGTTTAGGAGAAGCACTGATGTGGATGGTTAGCATAAATCAGCTTTTTTTTCTTTTTCTTTTTGCGTAGATGCTGTCTTTGGTTACTGTCACATGACAGTACGTGGGTTACGCCCCGTGCCTGGGACTGATAATAATGCCCCCCATTGATTTTCACATACTGGAGCTGCTCCTTGCTTTGCCAGCTTCCAGGGGCTGGACTTCCTGAAAGAATGTCAAACATCCTGGGAATCCTCGGGGAGCCCTTGTTGCCCCGCAAACATCCAATAAATGTGTGGATTTAGGAGGGCTCACGTGCCGCCAGAATACTTGAGAGATTAATGAGGAAAAGTAAAAACAGGGCGAGTTGCTATTTTAAGAATGTGGGGTAAAAATCGAAAGTCTCTAATTTGGTTTAGGGCGAGTGAAATCGATGGTGAAATTAACTGTAGCCTTCGTTGTGGATTCCAGGTAGTGATTCAGTAGAAAAAGAAATCGTCTACAGGAGGAGCCAATGTCAGTAGAGCCAAAAACTGTGAATGGGGTCAGAGTGGACAGGAAAGAGGGGGAGAGAGAGACAGAGAGAGAGGGGAAGACATGCAGCAAAGGGCAACAGGTCAGATTTTGAACCCCAAGCTGCTGCAGAGAGGACTCAGCCTTTGCATGTGAGGAGCCAGCTGAGCTACCAGGGAGCCCCAATATGATAAATATCAACCAGGTCAGTGAATTGTAGAAACAGTTAAATGATGGAGCACATCAACATGACAGCAGATAATTCACTGAGTGTAAAAAAAAGGCTAAGTTTACCTCATTCTTAGACAATATGCTGCTGGTTTCAGATATCTTAAACACTGTATGAGCTCATTGTGCAATGTATTGACATTAAACATGTTCCCTATGCAGCTGAATTAAACTTATAAATACTTTTCAAGTTAAGACTTGTAATATCTGGTTTAAATAAATGTTTTAAAAGAACTACATGAAACACAACAGCAGGGAAATGGAAAATCAGACTAGCTGTGATGGATAATTCCTCACTTTCCCTTATGGTGGCAGCACCTATGGGTGCGCTCCCTCTGTAGCACTCCCTCCCCTCCAGCACCACCACCACCTCCAGCCCATTCACATAAGGACACAATCTGTAATCCAGCATTGTAGGAGTGCCGACAGGATACTCACCGATGGAAAACGACACCAAAGCGTGAGAAAACACTGAGTGAGTTTCTATCAAATCTTCAGCCATCTGCGGGTGACGGAAAAAGCTGAAGAGATACAAAAAATAAAATAAAAAAGAAATAAAGTTCAGATAAAACATTAAGAATGGGGGGGAGTTTTATAATTTGTGGAACTTTATTCGAGAGTGACATCTTTACAATGAATCCAGTCCACTTTAAGTTCAGTGTAGATAATGAGGTTGTCAGTGACACGTTTTAATCTATTCCCAGTTAATAGACTGGGCAAACAGCAGGGCAAAAACCAGCATTGGTCAACAATAAAAAACAACACTAGGTCAAGTGACATGAAATTAAATTTTAAGCAAATTATTTCAAAATACAACCGCGCCAGGAGCCAGCATCCATCAATGAACCCATGCGTTTCAAAGCTCAACAGATCTTAACTCACACTGTAAGATTTCACATTTAACAAAAACCTGAATAACACAGTTGCATTTAACTCACCAGAGCACTGCCCATATCGCAGTGATAAAGCTGTGCACGAAGGATGTGGCGATGTTTCTCCATTTCCACGCATTCCTACAGGCGGACTCTGGCATGGGGAGTTTACCGACCCCCGCGTTGACAAGTCGGAAAAACCCGAAGGAGCTCCCGGTGGTTAAAATCACTGAACTCAACTCCATAGTTGACAGATAATTTCAGTTTTAGGATAGCTGTAGTAGATGAAGACTTCAGAGGTCTCCCCCTCCTCTCTCCTCACTATGAGCGGCGTAATAAATAGACTATATAATATGAAATAATGGCTCCAGACGGCTGTGGGCGACGACCGAGACGATCACGTTAACGCACCGGTGTGTTCCCAATCATTTGTGCCACAACAGGCTGGTGAAAGGCGGTTATTGTCCAGAGAAGAAAACACAGATTGACTATGTGTGTGTGTGTGTGATATGCAGCCCCCCCTCCTATAATAAACCCCTCTGAGGCCACAGGTCTAACCGGTATGGACGGTGAATGAAGGCGTGAAGTCTCGTTCACTGTTGTGAAACCGTCCTGTTGTAAAACCTCATCTCTCGCTTGTGTAACTTTTTTTTTTTTTTTT